TTGTACGTACTTTTTTGTGCAATGTTAAAGTAATTTTTTTTCTGAAAAAGAAATAATTAATTCATTTTGCACGCCATAGACGACGTACTAAAGGACTTTCCGAACATGCAACGATGATAGCTTGATGCATGGATTCATAAATCATGTTTCAGAAGAATCATTGGTCGCCATGTTCAAGCTCCGGCCAGCTCATCACCTTCGAGTTTTATATATGTAGAGATATCATCACTGGCTTGTTAATTGTTATCTTCTTTTTTCTTCCTTTATTTTTTTAAAAAATACTTTCTTTTAGTTTTTAATCTTGGTGTTTTCCACTAAACAAAACACTTGTTTATTTATGCGCGTGCCTATCTATATTTGCCTTGAAATCCTCACCAATATTAACAAAATCATATATGCTACTGAAATTGCTAAGACACCAATTCATGATTTAAAAGGTTAGACCATTTTTGAACCATGGTTGGACAGATGGAATTGATTCTTATAACATTACCATAAAACCAATTCATGTTTGTTCTTGGAGAAAGTTTGGGCCTTTTAGAGTTGGTGGTCAACTGGCTTTTCAAGCGAGTTACTTGTTTGTGTTGGGTTCTGCTTCCTTAATTCATGCATATATTTTCTGTGCAAATTAGAAACCTCATTGCAGCACGAATTGGAAGAAATTCTGAAATTTGAAGAAACAAAGTGGTTTCAAAAGGCTTAGACTGAATGGATAAATAGTAATGATAGAAACATTAAATAGTACTATCTTAAACCAACTATGAAGAGGAGGAGAAATAGAGTTCTATCTCTTAAAAATGATTTGGAAAGATCTATTGAGAATGGGGTGGAATTGAAAGAACTCGTTACTTAGCATTTCAAACAGTTATTTTCCTTTGAGAACTTAGAAGAAGCTTAGTTGAATATTAAGAATTCCTTCCCCTTTATTAGTGAGGATGTTCTTGCTAGTTTGGCATCAATCCCTTCCAAGGATGAAATTCAATTCTATGGGTCCATACAAGACACCAGGATATGATAGTTTCTCACTTATCTTTTTCAGAGCAAATTAGGAAATGGTGGGGAACTCCTTCTGTCATTGTGTGCAAGAGGTTTTCAAGGGCTAATGTTCATTAACTGAAGCTAATAGAACCCCCATCTCTCTTGTACCCAAAAGAGAAAGCCAAAATTGGTAAGTCATTTCAAACCTCTATCTTCATGCTATGTCCACTACAAGAGTATTATTAAAATCCTGAATTATAGATTGAAGGGTTGCATGAATACTCTTATATCCCCTTTTCAAGCTAGCTTTGTGCTAGGACACCAAATTCAGGATGACATCATTATTGGGCAAGGAATAATACACATCATGAAGAAGGCAAGAAGGAAAAAAGTCTTCTTTGCCATGAAAGTATACCTGAAAAACTCATACAATGGAATCAAGTGAGACTTTTTGAAGCAAGTTTTGATTAATGCTAGTATGAGCTCTAATTTTTTTTCTTTTAATTATGAGCCGTATTACTATTGTATCTTATAATGTTTTATGGAACGGGGTGTAAATAGGTATTTCTCTCCTTAAAAGGGTCTTCGGCAAGGATATTCAATTTCACCATTCTTATCTATGTTGTGTATGGATAGACTGTTACATATTATCAGTGATGAAGTTTATTCAAGACTTTGATTACCTATCCATATCACAAATTAGGGCCCCTCCATTTCTCACCTTATGTTTGCAGACAATCTTTGACTCTTTATAGAAGCCACTAAACAGCAAGCATATGTTATAATGGATTGTTTTAATGTCTTTAGTAAAGCATTTGGGGAGAAGGTTAATAAGTCTAAATCTTCACTATTCTTTTCTAAGAATATGAGTTTTACTCTAAAAGGAAAAATCAAGAGGATTGTGGGAATGAAGGTCTCTGTGAAAATTGGTCGGTATCTTAGTTTTCCTTTATCTAATGAAAGGAAAACAATGAAAAAATTACAATATATTATTGATAGAGTCAAATCAAAGCTTGCTAGTTGAAAATCTAGTTGCCTTTCTTCTGTTGGATAGGTGGTGCTTGTTAAGTCCGTCTTTAGTGCAGTGCCTCTCTATCCCATATAGGTTGCAAAAATCCCAACAACTATCTGTAATGAGATTAAAAGACTCCAAAGGAATTTTATTTAAGGTAGTGCAACCTCAAGAGGCTTCCACCCTTTGAGTTGGAATTGAATAACACTTCCTAGGGCTTCATTTTAAAAAATTATCCTCAAGTTAATAAAGCTTGTGGCACCAAAATAGCATGGAAATTAATCCTAGGTTCAACTGGTTTATAAGTTGATCTTTTCGTAGAACAAGTACATGTTCAAATTTGAAGAAGATTAACTAGAAGCTAAATCATATGATTCACTTACCTGGAAGTTTATATGCCAAAACAAGGATTTGGTGGATGAAGGAACTAGATGGTAACTTTGTAATGGGGAGTCAATTAATTTTTTTCAAAGATTTTTGGCTATTTTGTGATAAAAAAGATTAAGGATCTAGTATTGCGTCCATTTTTTGAAGAAGAGATAGGGTTTAAAGTTGCTAACTGAAGATGCTTTGAAGTGTGGGATTTCATTAGATTGTCATTCATCATGCCACAAGGGGTCTTATCTGAACTTATATCCTTGTTACCTCCTTCCCTGTTTGTAGGTCATGATATCATGATGTGGAATAGAACTATTGATGGTTCTTTTACCACCAATATTGCTTATTTTATGATTGAAAAACCACCTTCAAATTTAATATACCCTATGTTCAAAATTATCTGAAAATGGAGAGGGATAAGAGAATTTGTGTTTTCTTGTGGCTTACTTATCATAATAGGCTACCTACTAATAAATGGAGAAGTTCATAGGCTGGCTGTTCCCCTTTAAGTAATTGGTGTGAACTTGAGGCTAAAGATATTCTTCATATCACTAAAGACTGCTCTTATGCAAAACAGATCTAGTGCAAGTTGGTTCTGAATAGACTTCATCAAATCTTTTTCTCTCTTAATTTAAAGGAGCGGATGACTTGGAATTTTAAACCACCCACCAATACCAGTATATCTTCTAATTGGAATCTTCTGTAGGGTGTAACCATTTGGAAATTTGTGGAAATGGAGAAATTGTTCTATCTTCCAACATGATTTTCTCAAACCAATTAATCTTATAGATGCTGCGCTAAATTCACGACGATCCTTTATCACGCAAGAGGAATAGGTTAAGTTCAATATGGAGGATGTAGTTTCATCTACCTCGGGTAAGGCAGGATAAGGGGTGTCTTGAGAGCAATGTCTTAAAAGCCTAATCAGACAATGAATCAAAAAGATCAATAAGTCACGAGTCTTATAATTTAATTGATGAGATCGGTTTGTTGAACCGGTAACATAATAATTAAATAAAAATAATATATATATATATATATATATATTAAAAAAGGGTCAAAAAAATTAAACAACTTCAGGTCTCGAGTTATTGCTTCAAGTCTTCAAGAACCACTTAGGTCAAAGCGGGCTAACCTAGGTCAACTGTCAAAATAGGCTAATTGATTGATCTAGACTATTTTCTTCCTCAGATGACGGTTCAACTGGTCCAACCATCTGGATCAATCTGATCTTAATGCTTAAGAGACAATGTAAGTGTTTAGATTGTAGGCCTTTCCATCTCCCTCAATATTTGTTCCCCTTTCGAAGCTGAATGCTTTGGTTGGCCTGGGATATGGGCTTTAAGAAGGTTGTCGTTAAATCTGACTGCAAGAACTTGGTGGATTTACTCAATGGAGAGTTTACAAGTTTGCATAATGGAAGTCTAGTTTTGTTGGAAATTAAGAGCCTTGTGCAGATTAACTTTATTCCTCTGAAGATTAATATGGTTGCGAACTCCCAAGCTAAGGAAGCAATTTTGATTTTTTCTTTATTTGATTCGACTTTTTTTTCCTTCTTGAGGGACCTTGTGTTTAAAGAATGTATGGGAAGTCAGTCCCTTTGTGCTGCTGATGTTTAATTTTATGTAATGTTTATATATTTAAAAAAATGTCTCCATTACCCTCCCCCCAAAAAAAAAAAGACTTGCATGATTGAGTAATTTACCTGCTGCACTCAAATCAGGTCTTCGTGAATTGGCTTTCAGATTAATTCTTCACGTCATTATTGCAAGTTCAACTTGACAACATTTGCACCAAGAAGATAATCAAGTTTTGAGCTTTTGCCTCTTTGGGTTTTGCTTATCTTTCATGTCTGTACAATGTCTGTATAGAATTCGGTGTATGGTGTCTATATGTTTCTTCTGAATTTGTTTGTTTTCTTTTTTATTTTCCTTTAGTCTGTTATGTTTGGGCCTTTAAGTGTGCTATTTAGAGATTTTTTTATTGCATAATTGTTTTATGTATTAATAATATTTGAATTTATTTCACAATTTCAAATACTCCAATCGATCATTTTTTTTAATCAAATCCAAATTATCATTTTCAATCTTTACGCGTGTCATTGCATCTTCACTCAGCAGTTCATGTACATATTGTACAAGGTTGGATCAACCAGCATCAAGGAGTAATTTTTTTAATTCAGGTTTGTAATTTTTATTTTAAGTTTTAAATTGAAATTTATTTCGTTTGTAAATTAATATAGTGAATGTGAGGAATTTGTACATGTCGAAGCTCTATTTGCAAAGATAATGGGAGTTAAATTTTCTCCTATAGGAAGGAGAATAGAGGAAAAATTACTATAAATTTAAACTGTTAAATTAAATTTTAAAATTTAGATTTAATAATTTTTAAAAATACAAATTTAATTTAAACAAATTAGATTTATAGTAAAAATGCAGTAAAAATCCCATGCCAAGACAATGGCCATGTTATACTTGAAGACGCATGAAACAAGAAAGTAGGTTTATGAAAAAAACAACACTGGAAGGTGAGAACTGAACAAGACGGGACGACGTGTCATTGAGCCTTGTGGTTTTACCGGAACCAAAACTTCTCATAACGACCTTGTCTTTTCTCTTTACATTGTTCACGCTCCACTGTTCCTAACTTCCTCAACGTTCCCAATTGCTCGATTCCTAATCATTGGCCCGCCTGGAGATAAGACCGCCAGATTCAATTTCACCAAAAAATTCGTCCAATTTTCAAAAAAAAAAAAACGAAAAACAACAAAGATAATCAGCGAACGGTGAAAGAGGGTACCGTGGGTCGCGTTGCGTGCGCTGAGAGCCAGCAACAAGGAATCTACAAAGAGTTTAGGCGATTCTACTTGTTATCTAGGGTTACGAATTGTATGAATTTGATACGAGTTTTAGCGAATCAAGGAGGAGCTTCTTTTATCTTCGTCGTCCTAGTTGTCATCGCCGGATGTGATTATATTCATAGATAGACTACATAGATGTTCTCGTACAATTTGAAGGGGTTTATCTTGGCCGTCGTTTCCAGTGCTTTTATTGGCTCCAGCTTCATTATTAAGAAAAAGGGCCTCCGTCGAGCCGCGGCCAACGGCCGTCCTGCCGGTCAGTCCTCTTGAAAACTTGTAGATTGCATTTTTTGCATATTGCAGATCTTTATGCTCTGGGCATGACCTTTTGTCGTTCTTCATTTGTGTTAGGTGTTGGAGGATATGGTTATCTGCTCGAGCCTCTCTGGTGGGTCGGAATGATTACGAGTAAGTTGCTGTACGTATTTGATTTTGTAATTGATTACTAGTAAGTCAAGAACCCTAATTGATGCGTTACTAGTTAGTAATTTCGAGTCTCTTTTTCTCCCTTGTTGTTACTACTTAAAGTGATTGTTGGAGAGGTCGCCAATTTTGTGGCTTATATTTACGCTCCTGCGGTGCTTGTGACACCACTTGGTGCTTTGAGTATTATTGTCAGGTAATATTTATTTCCAATGATTCATGATTGATTCTTGTTTGCTTTTAACTTTGTTATAACCTGTTGGATTTACTTACCGGCTTATTCTTTCTGGTAAACACTATTATGGATATGGGTAGTGCTGTCTTAGCACATTTCTTGTTGAATGAGAAGCTCCGAAAAATGGGCATCTTGGGGTGTCTTCTGTGCATAGTTGGATCCACTATTATTGTACTCCATGCACCCCAAGAGCGGCCTATTACTTCTGTACTAGAAATATGGGAATTGGCCACTCAAACAGGTATACTTCTGAGGTTTGATTCATTTATCCAGTGTAGTGTCTCTTGGCTGCACGAGTCACAAGGGGATATTTTTTCCTGATCAATATTTTCTTCTGGCATACAGCTTTCCTCTTGTATACGGCTTCAGCTGTAGCTGTATCACTGGTATTGATCTTATATTGTGCCCCCCGATGTGGCCAAACTAATGTCTTTGTTTATGTTGGGATATGCTCTGTAATTGGGTCCTTGACAGTAAGTGACTCTACTAAGTATCTTATGAGCGTTATCTAATGGTTTTTTTTCATTTAAAAAGTCTCTAATGGTTTTATTATTTGAATTATCTTAAGTCTCATACCGAAGTCCATTGTTTGATTTACATTGCTAACGAGATCCCATATTTCACAGGTCATGAGTGTAAAAGCTATTGGCACTGCCATCAAACTTACATTAGAGGGAAGAAACCAGGCTGTATACTTCCAAACATGGATTTTTGCAATGGTTGCTGTTACCTGTGTCATAATTCAGTTAAATTATCTTAATATGGTCAGTTTCTTGTAGTATGATGGATTTTTAATGTGAATATTAATTTTGCATATTTCATATGCTCTTTTGGCACTCTGTTGCATTTTTCTGTATTGTAGATTAACAATTTATGCCAGTGAAGTAGATGATCTCTTAAGGCGTGTCAGTTTGTTTGTGTCTTAGCCGTGTGAAATGATTCTGGCTAATACTTCATGCATTTTTATTAATGAAGAATACCGTGTGAACGTGATCTCTTAATTAATAATATTTCTAAAAGCTTAATAAATGATAGAGCACAATGGCGTCTTGCAATCCATGTAGCCGACCCCACCTAGTGGGATAAAGGCTTGTTGTTGTTGTTGTTGTTGTTGAGAAAAAAATGAGAATAACAACTATCCCAGAATTCAGTTCTTGTTAGCAGATCTCCTGCTAATATATGCTCTCTTACCTTGTGTCTTTATATTTGTTTTTCTTTCAAAAAGTAACCTGATTCATTCAATTCATTCAAGGTGATAAATGAACATTACCACATTCGAAAATACTTCAAAACTTCCCAGAACTCGTTTGCCTATGCTGATAATTTTGAAACCCCGTTTTTACTCCGCTGCAGATACATGTACTTTCTTCCTTCTTTTTCTTCTTGCATCTTGTTTCTCCCCCCTTCCTCATGTTGTATTCTTCCTTTTACATCAAACAGTTTGGTTTTCTTACATTTGTGGTGAACAAGTAGTTTAATTTGAAATAACTTGTCAACAATAAGGTCATTGTGATTCAGATTATTTTCAGTAGTCGTCAGAATTTTTTTACTTAAATAGGTGAATAGTGAAATAATACTGCGCTCAAAATTTTTTCCATAGCCTCAAAGAAGTTTATATATCAACTAGGTAGCTAAAGAAGAGACTGCCACATTGTAGTTTCTTATTATTTGTTCAAGTGTTTGGAATAAAAATGTTTGTGACAATTACTTTTATAGTAAATTTCCAGCTTAATGGATTGACTTTCTGCTTTCCTAATCATGTGTTGATATATTAACGTGAGGAAGCAATCTAGTTTGCTGGCTGTAATCTTACCTTTTATAAGCTTTTTTAGCCACTCTTCTATACTTTGACCACTGCCTATCATCATACTCCCCTTCTTATTTCTGTGCATCTATTTTCACTCTAAATTTAAGTTGCCAATGGAAGGAAGAAACATTTTCTAGTGGTTGTGATTCTAGGTGTTCAAGTTGTAATCAATCAGGTTATGCTTAATCTGATTATCTGCAGAGACTGATGCTTAGCAATTTGAATTCCTAAGATTAAAATTACTAGTGTCGTTGCCTGCCCTTCAATTGTCACCATTCACTTGGATTTGATGTAGCCAACTCTTGCATGGTTGCAGGCACTGGATACTTTTAACACAGCAGTTGTTTCTCCCATCTATTATGCCTTGTTCACATCTTTTACCATATTAGCCAGTGCAATCATGTTTAAGGTTGGTATTTACCATAACACTAGAGTGTAGAAAAGGAGAGATTTTATGGTTCATTCATCGAATAACAATCCTTCCATATGTTCCCTTCTTAATAGGACTATAATGGTCAAAGTGCAAGCAGTATTGCATCCGAGCTTTGTGGTTTTATTACTGTTTTATCTGGAACAACTGTATTGCACAGTACAAGAGAACCTGATCCTCCAGCCAATATAGGTAACACCTCATGCCTTTTACTTTAGTTTGGAGGACTTGGAAAACGTAAATTTCTCATAGACATGTGTCGTTAACAAGGATTCAGCAACTATCATTACTAACATCATTGGTTGGCTTGATTATGGTATATTATCAGTGCCTTCAAGGTTTAAACATTATTAACTTTTTTAATAATGTGGAAGTTTGCTCTTAAATTCCCTGTTGTAGGCCACTTGGTTCATTCTGATATGTATGAGTAATTTTATTACCACAAAATATTTGATAGTTTTTTCTTGGGAAAACACAATTATTAGTTGTTATAGTTTTATCGAATTTTGTTTTTAGTCCTTATAGTTTTTTTCCAGTGTTTTCAGTTCTTGTAGGGACTAAAAACATTGAAACTATGGGGACCAGAAAGGCAAATGTTACCCAATCTCACTGAAACTATAGGGATTGAAAACACTCGAAAGAAATTACAGAGACTAAAAGCAAACCCAATAAAACTATAGGGACTGATGATTGTATTTTTTCTTTTTTCCTAAAATGTTAGAGAGTAAAATCAGTAAATACGTTAATTATATCTTGTACATAGAAAAGTCATTAGACAGTCGTTTGTTAGACACAGACATTGATATGGAATACCTAGATTTTAACAAAATGTCAGAAATGCGTGCTTGTCCTGATCCATTCAAAACTGTAACCATTCTGTTTCGCTCTTTTATTGAAGCTCAGCTGTTGATGACAGAAGTCAAATGCCGTGAAGGAGATTAGAGGCCTAGTAAAATTAAATGGGAGTTGTGAATTCTCGGGTCTATTCATTCCTGAAGGGGTTTGGAGATATGAATCAGTCGTTTATCATACAACTGCTAATTGATTTCTTGAAAGAAATTAATATTCATTGAAAGCACTCCTTGCTTCTTAACTACCTACACTTTCTGCGCTATCATAGTTTTAAGGATGTTTGCAAATTAATCAGTTTTAGCAGAGTAACGTAATAGATTAAGAAATTCCCGTGAGTAGACAGGATGATGTCAACAGAAATGTGGCGATGTACACTACCATTTGAGCCACAACCAAGATAAAGAAAGGGGGACCTTGGATGGTTCAATCAGTGAGGAATTAATTGTTTACACAGTAACTTGTTAGGAGTAATCTTAATTAAATGATTGGTGATATAAACTAAGCTCAAATTGTGGCAACGTAACTAAAAATGGACTTTGTTTTTTTAACTCTGAGCACTTTGGTTGTGTTTAAATATTATGTATCAGAGGTAATTAATGGTCTTCCATATCTTTATTCCGTTCTTGCTTTGCTGAGTTGGAATGGTATAATTTATTGTTTTATTTGACTGATCTTTCTGTAAATCTTTTTGCTTACTGCTTATGGGATACCCTTTATTCAGCATTTGTATCGAATTCTAGAGAATTTGTTACAATAAAGTTTTATCTTTTTTTCATATTCGGAAAAGTTATCTTCTGATTATTCTCCTCGTGCAGATTTGTACACACCATTGTCTCCAAAAGTGAAAAGGTATTCTCAAGGCGTGCAGATTTGTACACACCATTGTCTCCAAAAGTGAAAAGGTATGTCCAAGGCAATGGTGAACCTTGGAAACAAAAGGAGGAAGATGGAGCACCATTTAATTTGATCACAATAGTACGGCAAGACCATTTTAAGTGACAGTAAGAGACTTAAACTGCTTAAAGTCAGGCCCATCCCGTGACATCCTGCCAATGGGGTTCAAGCCGTGTTACGATGTTCTATCAATTTGGTTTAGCAGGAGACTTACATTGTGCAGGCATAGAGAGGGTGGTGTCTCTTTCACTCTCCCCAATACACGTGCAATGGAGAAAATTCCCTGGTTCTGGGGTTGACCACGTGGTGGATGCTAATGTGATTTTTCAGACTGATTAGTTAATGGGGGATGGGGACTTTCATACTTTTGTACAGAGAATCTATCAATTTTGCTATTTTCTCTGACTTTGTAAGTTGAGAGGCTTTGATGCTGCATGGCTTATGGCTTGAACAGATCTGGCTCGCTAAATTGGGGTTGTACCCTTTTTCTTTCTTTGTTTTTTTTAAATGAAGTTCTAATGTTCTACTGCACGGCAGAGAATCTAGTTTCAATTTTGGTCCTATTATTTAACTGCAGTAAATAATTTATAGCTTCCGATCAAATGAGGATGCACATATGACGGTCATGCGGATTTTTGTTTGTATTGTGTTAATTACATGAGTGATTATGATTTTGTGATACAAGGAGTGGTTTTTCCCCGAAATACCTGGGATATTTTGATTGGGACTGGAAAACTGTATTAAGAACTTTTAATTTTATAAAATAAAAATTTATCACACACATGCATGCACATACTATGCTAAAAATTAATATAAAAATAAAATTGATACACACAAAGTATGGCTCCTCTTATTTGAAGTTTTCTACATGACTTCTCTTCAAAAATTGAATCCTGTGCATCACACCTAATGAAATTATTAGGATACATACTGAATTTAGTCTGCCCAAAACAAAAAGAAAGAGGCAATACGTTGATTTGGTATGTAGTTAGCACTGAAGTAAAGAAATATACGTCGTTATGTAAAAAGCGTACCAACCCCGTGGCTGTAGTTTAGTGGTAAGAATTCCACGTTGTGGCCGTGGAGACCTGGGCTCGAATCCCAGCAGCCACAGTTTTTTTTTTCCTTTTATTTTTTTCCCTTCAGTCTTAAAGCCATTGGGTAAAACTTAAATACTATGCACTTAGCAGTCGTTATTACGCCTTTTAATCCCCTTATAATGTTAATGACCTCTCTCTTGATTATGTATTGATACGCGCGTAAGTGATAATTAAGATGATGCTGCTGCTGCTTCATTTGTTTAAGTCAACTAACACACAAGTCCGTCAAGATCCGAGTTTAAAAAGGAAAAGATTCAGAATCAGCTCGCACCCTCAAAATGGCAGAAGATGCCCAATTTGAAGCAAAATATTCGAATTCAGTTTGGTCATTCACACACACAGCCACCCCAACACATAATATTTTCTCCACCGATACCAGATTCTCTGTGGGCGTTCAGATTTCAAAATCTGAAATTTTTGAAGCTATTTGACACTGTTTTTATTTTATTATTTTAAAAATTAATATTTTATAAAACATGTTTTTAATAATAAAAAAATAATAAAAATAAATATTTTTTTCATTTTTCCTTATTTTATATAAAACAATAATTACGGAATATTTAAAAATTATTTTATTTTTTTATTTTTAAAATAATATTTTATATTTTTGTTTTTTAAAATATTTTTTAAAAATACATTATCAAATCAATTTTTTATTTTTTTTATTTTTTTAAAAAACAGAAAACTGTTGTTAAAATAGGTTTTTAAACAAGCCTCTATCATTCCTCTCACTCTCACTAAACCCCTCTGCACCGTCCATTTTCTGATCGACGGCCTCCATCACTCTGCGTCCTCTTAGCACAACACCCTGACCCTACAATCATCTATACTATACATCTAAACATACAAAGTCAAGTCTGGTTCGGACGCACAGAATTATACAGTGGGAAATAGAGAGAGAGAGAGAGAGAGAGAGAGAGAGAGAGGAGAGAGAGAGAGAGCTATGGCTTCCCCTCCGGTGAATTCTTTACCTATAGCGTATCAGGCATGGACGAGTCTCGCCGTACCGGACTGGCTGAACAAAGGGGACAACGCGTGGCAGATGATCTCGGCGACTCTGGTAGGTATTCAGAGCATGCCGGGGCTTGTGATTCTGTACGGAAGCATAGTGAAGAAGAAGTGGGCCGTCAACTCTGCTTTCATGGCTCTCTACGCCTTCGCCGCCGTCAGCATATGCTGGGTCACGTGGGCCTACAAGATGTCCTTCGGCGACAAGCTCTTGCCCTTCTTGGGGAAGGCCGGGCCGGCGTTGGGCCAGAAGTTTCTCATCAGCCAGGCCGCCCTGCCGGCGACGCCGCATTACTACAAGAACGGGCAGCCGGAGACGCCGGAGGTAGAGCCGTTCTACCCCATGGCGACGATGGTGTGGTTTCAGTGCGTGTTCGCCGCCATCGCGGTGGTTCTGCTGGCCGGGCCGGATCGGTGCTGGCGAGGATGAACTTCAAGGCGTGGATGATGTTCGTACCGTTGTGGCTAACGTTCTCCTACACCGTCGGAGCTTTCAGCTTGTGGGGCGGTGGGTTCTTGTTTCACTGGGGCGTTATTGACTACTCCGGCGGCTACGTCATTCACCTTTCTTCTGGGATTGCCGGTTTCACCGCTGCTTATTGGGTGAGTAGGCTGTATCTGTACTGTCATATCATTATTATTATTATTATTATTTTATCAATTTTAAAAAATACAAACTTCATTTTCTAAACAAATTAAAGTATGGCGTCATTGAAGATTCAAAATGAAGATAGTTATTAGTAATTATTACACAGTACACACTACACACTACACTACACCGCCTAACCCTTCTGACAGAACTGGTGTCAGTACTCAATGTATCCACATAGGCTAGTATGGAAATTTGACAGTGTATTACGGTGATGTTGAGGTGGATATTAAGGAAGGAAAAGGAAGATGACCTGCATGAAGATGCTCGTGACAATATAAACGGAGTTCTAACTTTTTCGTTTCATGTGAATGAATATATGAGTTTCATACATACTTCGACTAAGTCATGCGGAGGTGGGATAGGGCCTTTAACGCACTCTTTTCTAATATTTTTTTGTAATATTTTAACTTTTTAATTTTATTTTTAATTTTTTTAAAATCATTAACTTCTCCATAAAATAAAAAACATTTGAATATCTTAATATTTTAAAATTATAAATATTTATATTTTTTATTATTTTTTTAAAAAATATCACAAATAAGCCCTTTTAATTTTTAAAAAATAATAAAAAATATAAATTTTTATCATTTTGAAATATCAAGATATCTAAATGTCTTTTATTTTATGTAGAAGTAAATATTTTAAAAAAAATAAAAAATGAAATTGAAAAGTTGGGACGGGCACATTAAAAACCCTTATTTCATGCGGAGGTATATTTAATTTGTGGCAACAGAAGTAGATACAGGGGAATTAATATGTGGTGGAGGACGATGATGCTGGGGCTCGATTGATTACATTAATGTTGATGAAGGTATGGTAATTAATGGCGTAGGTGGGACCGAGGTCGAAGAAGGACAGAGAGAGGTTTCCGCCGAACAATGTGTTGCTGACGCTAGCAGGGGCGGGGCTGCTGTGGTTGGGATGGGCTGGCTTCAACGGCGGCGATCCCTACTCGGCAAACACCGACTCGTCCATGGCGGTGCTCAACACCAACATCTGCGCCGCCACCAGTCTGCTGGTGTGGACGTGCCTTGACGTCATCTTCTTCAAGAAACCCTCCGTCATCGGAGCCGTCCAGGGCATGATCACCGGTCTCGTCTGCATCACTCCCGGCGCCGGTATGTCCGCTTCTATTTTACCCGCCCTCCTTTCTTTCCTTTTCATGCTAAAAACGTATTTTTAACACAAACTTGACAATTATGTGTTGACAAATTTTATATCCATGGTTAATTTATGGGATCGAGTTTTTCTTCCATGTCTCCTAATACTCACATGACAAGTGGGTGTGAAAAGCATTTAAAAGCAGACAAACAGAAACATGTTGATGTGTATGAAGATTGTAGAGGATAGATACTATTCCAAGTGACAAGCTATGAACGTTAACATTTTAATAAAAAATAAAAATATGGAGTACCGTCAGATTAGTTATTATATGTGATTTAACTTTTTTTTAATAATATGAAATATAAAAAATATCAAATAATTTGTGGATCCCTTCACACTTGACTATATATGATATAGTCACTTGACGCAAGACTTGGTATTATTCTGGCGGCTGTGTTCATTGTTTTATTAGTTGGAAATGGGTATGCAATTCTTCTTACATTCCATAGTTGACCTTTTTTCGGCTTTTTCTGCACATGGTTGGGCGTTTTTCCTATCGACGATACCCCACTTCAATTTCTATGATATATAATTTCAAAAAATAGTAATCATGCTGCCTTAGAAAATAATAATAGTAGCATTAATTTGTACTCTACTTGTTGACTACTTAATTAATTAAGTAATTAATTGTATGCCTTTCTTCACGCTGCCCACGACTTAATTATTGGGAATTTTTAATACTGACCATTCCTGATTTGTTATACACACACATACACACACCTATCTCCTCAGATATGTATTTCCATGTATTATAATTTATATATTAACGTCAATGCATCCAAAATATTGTGCAATTTGTCACAAAAAAATCAAGAAATATCCTTACTCGCTGGCCTTCCAAATAAATATGTTCTTTGCTTAGCATCTCTTTTTTGGCCTGTAGTTGAACAGATATTTTTGTCAATCACTACAAAAAAAAAGGGTTAAATGGTAATTTCATTCTTAAATTATAAGTTTCAAAAGTTTGAGATCTTGAACTCTCTGTTTTTGTTTTAATGTTCTCCCTCGTGATTGTCTCTTAATAAAAGTTAATTTTAATTTTAGTTGATTAAAAAATTACAAAAAAAACCTGAAAATTATATATAATGACAAAAAGATTATAAAAAGACCAAGAAATTTCTTAGTATATTTTTATAATTTGAGATCTTTTTTTAATTATTTTTGTTAACTAACAATAAGAGTTAACATTTGTTAATGGTAAGGATAATATTGCATTCTTTTGAAAATATTAAAGGAAAAACATTACTCCAAAACAAGTTTAAGGTCTTAGACACTCGCTTCTAAATCTATAATTTAGGAATTAATTTGTTATTTAACCCAAAAATATATATCCGTAATCTTAATTATATTTAACCTAGTTATATGTAATTCAAATATTCAATTGTGTGATACTTAGTTTTTAAGAGAGTTAGCTTAGCTTAGATTTTAATTTTTAGAATTAAGTCAGGCATAATTAACTAATCTCAGAAAATTTAAAATAATATCATTTATGTTAATGAATAAAATAATGATATGCTAACTAATTAGAGAATACTCTTCACAAATTTTAAAATTTAATCACAGTTTTCAATGTTTATTGCACGGTCAAAAATCTTGTTCAAATTTAA